TCATTGAAAAGGTAGTAATGACTATTCATTTGGTTGAAACCTCCATTCTGCAGCCCACAGAGCTTTATTTAGAAACTGCTATTTATTTATAAAAGGAAAACCTCATTTGTGTCCTCTATAATGTCAATTAAAGGAGAATATATTTTAATTATTTGTCCCGAAGAGAAACCTTTCAGGATCTCTATTTGCTGCTCCAGTGATACAGGCTGCAGTTTGAAACAATATACGCCTGCAAAATTGCATGTCAGAGAGGAGAAATAAGATGTGTTTTGATTTAATTTGCCACTCATTGATAGTTTATTTGCAGCTAATTAGCAAGTTCGAGTTTTGCAATTAATGCCGCATTTCTAATATGACTCATAAAAAAAACAAAACAACACCTCACCATCATTGCCAGCAAATGAGGTGCATTACTGGGTCCGAACAGAAAACGCTGCGGGAAGGATTCACCGAGTTATCGATGGGTTAAAAAAGAAAAAAGGTGATTGAACGGGTTTGTTTTCCTGGAGAATGAGTTCTGCGACCAGCTGTCACAGGAGAGCGGGGGAAAGGGCCTGAGTGGGGACACCCCCAGCCCGCGGGGCTGCAGGGACACCAGCGGCAAAGGGCGCTGCGTGGGCACCAGAGGCCGCTCTGCTCCGCCCCGTGCCGCTGGGTGGAACCGGGCGGGACGCGGACGGGCTGCTGCTCTCGAGCAGAGGTGTGGGACTGGGAACGGCATGGGGAGCTGCACAAACTTCCTGGCCCCGTCTTTAGCACCGGGTTTCGTGCTCTTTTTTTTTTTTTTCCCCACTCGGTGTTTTTCTCCTTTCCGCCGGGCTCCTCAGCGAGCTCAGGGAAGATGTCCTGTGCTGGTGGTCCGCTGTGCAGCTGTTAATTGGTAACTTGGAGATGAGGGGTCTTATTAGTAATCCCCCCACCCTGCCGCATCCCTTCCCTCCCCAGAAGCCAACCCCATGAGGCGATTACCAGGAGGAGCCGTTTGTCAGAGGCTAATAAACAAATTCCTGGCGAACACCTGAATGAATGAGCGAGGGCCGGGAACAGCCTAATTAAGACACGGAGCTCCTGGTTGTTTTTGTGGCGGTGGAAACAATCCGGGCCAGAAAGGGTCTATTCAGCGGCGCTCCAAGAGGTCTGTTTGCAGCCTGCTATTGTTGGAAGAAGCCAAATAAAAGTTCAGCTGGGAGGAAAAAGTGATGAAAAACAGCATTTGCTGCTGCCTCCTGAATGCGCTGGGAGGCTCGGTTCAAAGGAACTGAGATGCACCCAAAAGGCTGTCTGGGTTTTATCCGTGCTCATGAGATTTTTGGTTTTAAATGTTGCTGTTTATAATGTTGTCATCAAAGGTATCCTTCATGCTTTGGGGCAGATGAGCAGCAGGGATGCTGCAATCGCTGTAGTGCTCTGCAGAGGGCACGGGTGAAGACGCAGAGGAGACAGGGGACCCATTTGGGGGTGTGGTGGTTTGTGCTCCCAGCTGGAATGGGAACTCGGTCCAAGGCAGCTCGAGAGGCTGATTTGATGTGACACCGCTGGTAGGGGAATAAAAATAATCCTGTTTCAATCTATTGAGATGGGGCTGCAGCAGCAGCCCGACGTGACCCTCTTGAGAGCGGCATTACTGTGAGGAAACTTTGGTGAAATCTTAAGAGTCAGAATGCAGAAATACGCCAACCTTTCTTTTAAGCATCACACGGCTATTTTCAGGGAATCATCCAAGTGAGAGTCAGCAGGAACCAAACGAATGGGGCTCAGCTCCGCGTTCAGGCATGCTGTCAGGGCTGAGCCCGGTTGGTACTGATGCTCAGGGTCGGAGGGGATGTTTTAACAATGGGATTAAATGGGGCTTTTTTGGTGCATAGCATTGCTCTAAAAGCCAGCAACCTAAAAGCCAGCAACCTTCCCTTCCAAGAACCCCTTTCCCCAAGTTCTACAGAGCTGCAATTAACAGATATTAATGGCTATTGCTTATTAAGTGCTGATCACATACGAAGCAGATCTTCCCGTGTCAGCCATGGGTTTTCTTCTCATGTTCGAAGCGTGCTGTAAATTCCTGCTTTTGCCTCACACTCCTTTGTCACAGAAAAAAAAAAAAAAAAAAAAAAAAAAAAAAAAAAAAAGGTTAAAAACGAAAGCAGAACCGAGAGCTTTTCTGAGTTTGACAAACAGTACTTCTGTACACGAGTGCCTCTGGCTCCCACTGGGCACCAGGTGCTCTCAGCCCCACATAGCATCCCCTCATCCCAGCCACAGCCGAGGAAGGAATTTAGGAAAATGGCTCCATCCAGGCGCGGTGCTCCTCAGCCCCGCTGCCAGCTCTCCTGCTTCTGCCCCTTCCCTGCTTGGCAGCAACTGTGCTTACGGGCAGGACTGGGGACAAGGCTGGGACTGGGATCGGACCTTTTTAAAGCGCTAGGAAACAAGTTTTTGGAAATAACAGCTCGTATAGCGGCACTTGCCTTGCTTCCCCTTCCTTCCCTACTGTGTCTCAGTAGCGATCTGTAGCTTCCACCCTTGGAGAGCGTCCCTTGTGTTAGCAGAGGGATGCCGGCGGCGGAAACACGGCTGAGCCTCACTTCTCTCTGCCGGGACCTGCGCAACCTCCCCAGCTCCCCTCCCAGGAGAATCCAACCGCAGATGCTTCCCCAGCACGCGGTTGGGGAGGAACGCGGCTCCGCGGGACAGCACAGCGCTGAGGGCGGCCTTCTGCCTCTCCTTCGAGAGTTCAAATCCTGGCAGAACAATTACCGAGAGGTAGAGGTTCCGAGCTGGGTGTCCCGCTCAGCCCCTTCTTCTGCAAGTAGAAAACGGCCTCGTTTTTAAGTATGTCTCATCAAAACCGCAGAGCTGTGAGAGCACTTCGTGCACCCGTGAAATCTGGAAATACCGACCTATACTTACACTTATTCATCAGTGAGGAGATGAGTGATGTTTCAAGAGAAATATTGCCTGGCTTTTAATAACATAGACAGTGAGATGCTAAACGATGTGTCCGTTGGGAAAAAAACAACAGCAAAACATGCCAACAGTGCAATTGACACCTCAGGCCGCAGGAAAACAAACTGAAAGACTAAATATGAGTTTGAAGCTTGTACCATTTATTCAGATGGCTGACATCGCTCGCAGGGCTGTCGGCCCCAGTTTCGTACCCCGCCGAGATGTTTGCGAGTACCCGTGCTCGGTCGCTCCGACAAACGCTCGTATCAGAACATTTCAGAGCGGCCAGGACACAGATCAGTCCGTCTCCCACCCGTGCCTGGCAAAGTTTAGCCTTGGACTGAGCGGTCAAAATGTTTGGACGAGTTTGAACTTAAACAGAGCTCTTCAAAACTCTCCCGATGTGCTGCAGAAGTTCCACCCGCGGCGCTCTTTGCGCGACAGCGCCATAAGTAAAACCCGCTGTCTCCCTGCAACGCATTCACTTCGTCCAACACTACTGAGCAACAAACCAGACAAAGCTCCTGTCGCACCACAGCTTGTCCTAGCGGCGTTATTTCCCTCACTGACTTTGTTCAGATGATTTTGTCAGTAAAGAAACGCGTACAAAACGAGCGGCAACTTTGCACTGTTCCAACCCACTCCGATAAAACCCCCACCCAGCACACCGTGTTGATTCCCTCCTTCCAGCACGGCCGTTTGTTTGCAGCCGGTACGTTTCGCGTTTCCCAGCTGGGCAGAGAACCCGACTGCTTCCCCGTGTTCTCCCACCGCCCTGCCAGTCAGCGCCGTTATCCTTATGCTCTTCTCTTACCGAGGGCTGCCAAGCTGCAGCTTTCCTCCTCGCCGGCCCCCCTGGACGGGACGGGGTGCCCAGGCACGTCTGTTCCGCGCCCCCTGCCCAGTCCCGCGCCCCCGGGGCAGTTTGATCGGAAAGCACCGGCGGTGATGGATCTCCGCTGGCAAAGGACAGTCCCGTGCCTCTGCCCGTGCGGAGCTGGAGCGGAACACGGCGGAAGGACGAGGAAGGAGGAAGAGCACAGACGGGCTGCGTGCCTTTCGGGAGCTCCCGGCCCCGGCCGTGTAGGTGCGGGCGTCCGCGCCTCCGAGGGAGGAAGGGATGGAAAGGGAAGGGGAGGGAAGGGACGGAAAGGGAAGCCCGTGATTGACAGCTGCAGGGAGCTCCTCTCCGGTCACCCCAGCCTTCCCAAGTTTTCTTTCACAAGGAACTTCGCCGTTACCATGAAAACGGTTTTTACAAAGCACCATCCCCCATCCCCCTCCCTCTGGGGCAGCCGAGTGGAAAAAAATCAAGTGGCCGAGGTTCGGCGAGGAGTGGGGGACCGGGAGCGTCCTGCCGGCATCCAGCCCGGCCCAGCAACACGAAGGGAGGCACAGAGCTGCAGCGGAGCACCCGCCTGGCACCTGGAAGGAGCGCCCGGCAGCCGCTCCTGATGCCGACGGGGCAGGGCGGCTTCCCTCCGCAGAGACCGCTCCGGAGGCGAAAGTTCAATTATCGTCCCTTTCATTCGCTGTGCGTGTTACAGGAACAGCTGTTCGTATTCATCCAGCCGGAAAGCTCACATTTCTTTGTGCACACCAAACTCGTGGATCCGCTCGCGGTGGTCCTCCGCTCCGCAACCCCAGCCCCGCCGGCACCCGCACGATCCCCGCTGCCCGCTCCGCACCCCGGAGAGTGCCCGCTGCAGGTCCAGCACCTCGGGCGTTGCGGCGGGAGGGGCTCGGTCCCAGCAATCTCCAAACACCAACTTTTTTGCCCATCCCCGTCCGCTCCAAACCGGCCCATTACCGGCGTTGGGGCTGTCGGGAACCGCTCGCTGATTGGCCGCCGCCCGCTCATTTATAGCCCGTCAATCAAATGCCCCCGGGAGAGGTGTGCGCATCGCTCAGCGCTGCCCGCGGGAGCCTCCGCTGCACTTCGGGGAGCGGCACGGGAAAGCTCCTTCCTCCTCCTGCAGCCGCCGCCCGGACCGCTTCTTTCTTTTGCTTTGATTATTTTGAACTTCCTTTCCCCGAGCTGTGCCCGCCCGTCTGCCACCCTGGCGCATCTCTTACCGGCCCCGGCCATGTACAGCATGTTGGAGACCGAGATCAAGACGCCGCAGCCCACGCCGGGCAGCACCGGGGGGAACCCGGCACCGGGCGGTAACGGCAAAGGCGGCGGCGGGGCCGGCAGCGGAGCGGGGGCCGGGTCGGACCAGGACCGTGTGAAGCGCCCCATGAACGCCTTCATGGTGTGGTCGCGGGGCCAGAGGCGGAAGATGGCTCAGGAGAATCCCAAGATGCACAACTCGGAGATCAGCAAACGCCTCGGGGCCGATTGGAAGCTGCTGAGCGATGCCGAGAAGCGGCCCTTCATCGACGAGGCCAAAAGGCTGCGGGCCGTGCACATGAAGGAGTACCCGGATTACAAATACCGGCCCCGGAGGAAGACCAAGACCTTGCTGAAGAAGGACAAATACTCGCTGCCGGGCAACCTGCTGGCCCCCGGAGGGGGCAACGCAGTGAGCAGCCCCGTCGGGGTGGGCCAGAGGATTGACACTTACGCCCATATGAACGGTTGGACCAACGGGGCTTACTCCCTGATGCAAGACCAGCTGGGCTACGGGCAGCACCCGGGCATGAACAGCCCGCAGCTGCAGCAGATGCACCGCTACGACATGCCGGGCCTGCAGTACAGCCCCATGATGTCCACGGCGCAGACCTACATGAACGCCGCCTCCACCTACAGCATGTCCCCCGCCGCCTACGGCCAGCAGCCCTCCACGGCCATGAGCCTGGGCTCCATGGGCTCGGTGGTGAAGTCCGAGCCCAGCTCGCCTCCGCCGGCCATCACCTCGCACTCGCAGAGGGCCTGCCTGGGAGACCTGCGGGATATGATCAGCATGTACCTGCCCCCGGGGGGCGACGCCACAGACCCTTCGGCCCTGCAGGGCAGCAGGTTGCACAGTGTGCACCAGCACTACCAGAGTGCCGGGACTGCCGTGAACGGCACCGTACCACTAACTCACATATAAACAAACTGGCCTCCTCCGGACGGCTCCTCATCGCAACCCCAGCACCGGGACGTGCGGCTCAGCAGACTCGATACTAACTTGGGAGAAATTTTAAACAGAAAATCCGTTAGTTGTCTTTTTTTTTTTTTTTTTTTTTTTTTCCCTTTTGTACAAAAATGATTTGGGCAATCTGTTCTTTTAACAGAGCACGACCGCCTCCTAAAGCCCCGTGAAGTTCTTAAGCCACGGTGACTCTCCCGGTCTCCGCGGGGTTGGGCGTAGTTTTGTTCGCTTCCAAGTCTTTAAGATGGTGCATCTTCCCGTTCGTTTTTAACGTTGCAATGACAAAACGAAAAACCGACCCGGCGGGCGTTGTTTCCAAACTCAGTTGTTCCGTTGTTTACATTTTCGTTGTGGTTACTGAAAGTGTTGTTCTTCCCACCTTGCCGAGTGCCGCTCGGTTCGTGTCCGCAATTCGTAGAGTTTTTAACTTTAGGGTTTTGTTCCTACGGAAAGGGGGCGGTGGGAGAGAGCTGTGCGGGTCGCAAACCCTTTCTTTTATTTATAGCAAGTTGTGTGTCTGGGTTTTTCTTAAGCTGTAAACTTATGTAAATCGGTTTGTGAATTTTACTGTGAACTATGTTTTGACATATCAGACGAAGAAAAGTTTTAATTTTTTTTGTTTACCGAATTTCTTCCAAAAAAAAAAAAAAAAAAAAAAGTGATCGAAAAATCTCCTTCCCTGTGCCTCGTTTTCTTCTGTCTTTAAAACGAAGAGCTCTCCGTACTCTTTACACGGCATTTATGCGGGGCGGCTCCGCCGCTCAATGCTTCCCGTCCCGCACAGCCGCTCCTCGGCCGGGCCGGGGGCCGTGGATCGCCGTGTGACTTCGTAACTCCTCGGAGCCCCCGGGCCGTTCCCAAAGGGACCGCCGGAGCCGCGCTGCTCCCGCACGGCGGCCACTTGTTGCCTCTTCGGCCGACGGGAGGGAAGGGCTGAAACTCTGCGCCTCGCATCCTTTTTTTTTTTTTTTTTTTTTTTCCTCTGGAGGATTTGCCCAGAAGCCCGAGCTCATCTGAAATATTTACGAAAGTAAAACCCGCTGGGGAACTCTTAATTAGGCTCTATTAAAAATAAATGGTTACAGGAGTCCCCAGAGGAAATAAATAATTCAAACTTTTCGGTGTGTTTGACGAGTGTGTTTTGAGTCTGGACAGCTTTTATTTTCCTAGCAGCCCGCGTTACCGGGGTGCGTCGTTACAGACCGGCCCCGCTCCCGTCGGGCCGCATCCTTCCCGCAGCGCTCCGCATCCCGCCCGGCACCGGCGCTCCCGCAAAGCGGCAGTGCGCGTCGCGATGCAACTCCCACCAATCCATCTTTGCCTTTCGTTTGATTCGAATGATGGTTTCTCTGCCTTTCTACGGAACGGAAGGGAAACGGAGGGTGTTTTCGCTGTTTGCTTTCGTTTCGCTCCCAGGGGCACCTCCGGCTGCCGCTCACTGTCGAGTAGTGGAAGCCCCGTCCTCCCTGCCCGCTACTTGCGGCCTCCCGGGCCAGGCCGGAACATCCACCTCGTTCTCCGGACGAGGTTGGTCAGGTCCTTCCTCCGGCTCCGCAGAGGGAAAACTGAGCGTTCTTCACTCCGCGCCGCCAGTCCCGTTCCCGGTGCGCTGCCCGTCTGCCGGCCTCCCCGAGAAGAAGCTGCTGCGGTTCCGCAGCCTCAGGAGAGCACATGCGGCTGCTGCGCTGCTCTTCGGCACCTGTGCTCCCCGCTCGGTGCAGTGAGCTGAGATGAGCCCGGGTAGCACGCACCCTCCTCTCGGCTCAAGAGCAGCCGCGCAGGAATCCAGTGTGCCTAACACTCTGTTCAGCTCCTTCTTAACGTTGCTGGTTTCATCTCTGGCAAACTGAAGGCTGTGTTTCCTCATGTTGGCTCTGCCATCCCTCCTCCATCCCCGAGGAGAAGCGACTCTGTACCCTGAGATAGAGAGGGGAGATGGGACGGGATGGTGCAGGTGGTGCTGCCGCAGTCCATGGAGCCATGCAGGGGCAGCACGAGGTCCCGCAGCATCTCGGCGCCGGGTGAAGCTCTTGCCCAGAGCTCTCCCAACGGGCGGTGCCGGGGCAGCTCCGGCAGAGGAAGCGAGGCCATCCCGTTCCACCAAACTGCTCTCCCTCAGCATTTCCAGAAAGATGCGCAATGGAAGTCTGACAAAAGCTAGGGCTTCTGGGCAGGTGGGCTGCTGCTGTCTCTGCTGCCTTCAGAGCTGAATTGCACCTGCATCACTCTTAAGTAGTTGCTCTCTTCACCTGAGCTCTCTAGAAGTGGATTCTCTGCCACGAAGTGAGAGAAACACTGCTCTTCAGAAGGTTTGCAGCACGTGAGTTCAAGTTATCCTCCTTTCTGTCAGGGCCTAAGGGCAGCTTCTCAACAAGTCCCTGAGGTGTCAGAGGAGATTCCTCTATTTACTGATGTATTCTCTGGGAGCTCATGTCAGTGTGTGGTATGCAAGTGCTTTTCCCAAGCAGTTAGTTTTGAGAGCCAAAGCCACCCTGCAGCTTCCAGCAACCTGAGGCTGAACTTTATCATAATTCTCCCTTTGGTGGATTGTGGGAAGCATTGGGAACAGGCACACACCTCTGCCTGGGGAGAGACCGCTGGTCCCATGAACCCATCTGTGCTCACAAACACAGCTCCAAACATAAGTGTGTTTTCCATCAGAGAGACATTACCTGAAAGGTAACTTCTTTTCTGAGACCACCATTATGTCCTTTGCTGGGACTCAAGGAATTTCCTAGGGAGCAAAGGCAGAAAATTCTAAAATTAATGAAGGTATGCTGTTTGTACTGCTTCTGATTCCAAAACATGCAGTTTATTCCTGATGTGATGGGCATGCATCCTGCATCTGTTAAAGCCAAGAGCCTTTTGAGCAGTGCTTGTGAGGGATTTCACACTCCTGCGGTGTGGGACAAAAGTGAATGGAGCCATGCTGGTGTTGGGGAGGGCAGGTGAGGTGTCAGCAGCAGCAGCAGCCAGGTGCTGCGCATCAGCTCTAGGGAAGGACCCTTCCCTCCAGAAGCCCACAGCACCTGGTGAGACAGAGCTGCCAGTGGGGTGCCCAGTTGTTATGTGTGCAAAATCAGAAGCAACTGTTTGCACAACTGAAACCCTGCAGCCTTATTCTGGAACACTTAGAATAGATGCAAGTGCATTCCTTCTCCTTAGAAATACTGAATTGGCAGCGGAGCGTTAGCCGTGTGTTAATGATGTTAACATTTAAGCATAAGGACAATATTTAGGCTTTTGTGTTCACACTTTCTTGAATGGAAGAGTTGGAGATCACCCTTGAGGCTTGTGTCAGGCTGTTGTAAAAACAGCAGCTCTGGTTACACTACGGTGGTTCTTTCCTTTACCAAAGACCATTAGAGATCATTTATGTCCAGCAATTGGTAAGTCAAAATATTTTAAATCAGACTTGTGAGGCATTATGATTGCAGTGTAAATTCAAGTAATCAGCAGGGAACTTTGCTTGTGAGAATATTTTTTAAACAATTTTTTTAAAATTTCCTTTATTTTTTAATATTTTTTTGCTGTTTAAAGACATGAGTTTTAAAAAGGCATACGACTGACACAAGCACTTTGCAGAAGCTCTGATGCATCAGCGCTTGACTACATATACGTGAGGCTAAGAAGGTACACTTTCCAGGAACATCAGAAAGACAATAACATATCTAACCATCTCCCAGTGCTAATGGAAATAATGATTTCACAGGAAGGAAGAAAGCTGAAAAGGTGAAGTGATGCTTGGGACTGGATGCTGCTGCAGCAAGCAGTACCTGCAAAAGTTAGAAGTTCTGTGTGACCCCTTTTCTACTTACATAGAGCTCCCTCCTCTACTTACTGCAATTGGCTCCGTGTGGTTTACATGGTGCACTCGGATTCTTTCAGTGATAATCCTGAAGTGACAAAAAGCAGGAATCTTAGAGAGAGATGTGGCACCTGGATTCATCTGCGTCACCATTTCTTAGGAAGGAGAGCTGGCTGTTATGGCAGTTCTGCTTGGATTCGGTCATTTAGTGATTAATACAGATAAAGTATTTCCAGAACAGTTTTCTACTGTGACTTTTCCTGGATGCAGTAATGAATGCAACACAGTGACTTTTAATTCACAACAGAATGTCCTCTGGATGAAAAATTAATTATTCTTTGCTGTGAATACCATTCACAGTGAACTTCTTTGTGCTGCTGGTCAAGTAAACAGGCTTTCAGGTTTGCCTCCTTGAAAGACATCCTCAAAAGCTCTTTAGTCATTTTATACCTCAGCCTTCCAGTTTTTAAAATGAAATAATATACCTGCTTGGTGCAGCAGGGGAGCATAGCATTGAGTGTGTGAGTATGAGGGGAGTACCACCGTGATTCCATACTTGAATAATTCCACTCTTGAGATGTATCTTGGATTCAGAGATGTATCACTCATGCTATTTACAACTGCATTATTTGCAGGATGCTCATCTGTATGAGAAATCTTTTACTGCTGTTGTTAAGTTCAATTATCCTTGTTTATCCCTGTGCACTTCAGTTGTACATCAGCTAAGAGGAATCCCTCTGCCCACAGTCTGGTTTAAAGGTGCTTGTGTTCATGTTTCAGATCCATCTCCACACGAGGAAGCAGTTGTGGGGCTTGACACATTACTGCCCCAGAGCTGTTTGCTCAGTTTCTCTCCTGGAAATCACTACATCTCGTTCCATGTTCTGGCCATCACAGCTCACACACTGGTGGCTCTGCGCAAATTCACCTCGGCTTATGGGGAGAAAAGAAGCACGAAACACAAACTAAAGCATAAGCTGCACTGCTTCCAATGAAATGCAAACTGAGCCAAGTTCTCAGAGCTCCAAACTGCTGTGTGTGCTCCACATGCACAGCAACCCAGAGTTTGATATGTATTAGGCATAAGAGGGGAATAGATTAGGAATAAGAGGGAAATTAAGCAATGTTAATAAGTCGTGAGCTTCTGTCT